CCCCAGAAAGGGGGGGGCGCGCCCCCCCCCCCCAGCTCACCCGGGGGCCCCTGCCAGTGGCCAGGTAAGATGTGCTGGTGGGCGAGCGCATGGACCTCCAGCTTCCACAAGAACCGAGCCAGCCGCGAGCCTGAGCTGAGACCTGGAGGTCGCGGGAGATGCAGTGCCGTGAAGCTGTCCCCATGCGCTGAGCAGCAGGACTGCAGCCCGTCCCCTCCCGCCCACCAGCTGCAAACCCGCGGCGTGGCACCGACTTACCTGCACCCGGCGTCAGGGGACGACTTAAAGATCCCCAGCCCCGCAGGGCTCGCTAATGCAGGCTTTGCTACTGATAGGCTTTCAGCAAGCGCAATCCAGCCCCTGGAGCAAGGGTCCTGAGTGGCAGCGGCCGCAGCCAACGTTAGGCAGGGTGGGAGGGCAGCAATGCCCCCGGCTGGGGAGCAGGGAGGCGGGAAAGCGCACCCACAGCTTGCTGGGCTTCACACGGGGGGCCTCTTGCCAGACCCAAATGCTTGAACCTACTTGGGACGAAAAAGCACAGAAAAACTAACAATGTCATTCAGTGCCTGCAAAAAGGAATTATTATTTCTCGACAGGGTTTAAAAGCTCCTGCTGGACCCTGCGTGGGGCTGGCTGCCGGCTGAAAGGGGAGAGGAATGGAAGAAATGAGAGCGGTAAGAAGGACCTGACATCTCTGTTCTTAATCTATCATCATAGTAAGACTCGAGCACCGAGTACAGCTCGGCACGCGCTCCTAGATGGATTTCCTCCGCAGCCGGGGGTGCTGCCGGCAGCGAGCGCTGGTGGATGATAAAGTGCTCCCCGGGGAAGAGCCGGTCTGACCCCGTGTGCTCAGGGACACCTCGTCGATTTTGTAGGAAATGGAGTTGTAATACACGGGGTTGGTGTGGCAGCTGAGGGTCTCGGGGTGGGAGGGCACTGGGCTGCCGCACAGCTGAGGTCTGTAGCACAGGCACGTGCAGAAGGAGGGGACGGCGGCCGCCGAGTTGGCCGACTGGCGCCGCTGCCTCTCCGCATCCTCCTGGATCAGCGGGATGAGGTTCATCTGGCTCGTCCTGTCCTCCACGGGGAGAAAAATGGCATTGCTGCTCCGGCTGTCCTCTTTCGGCGTGAGGTGGATGTTGTTGCGGGCTCTCCTCAGCGAGGCGCGCTCTTCGGCGTCCCGCCGCTCGTCCTCCGAGTTCATCGTCAGGAACCGCAGCACCACCAGGTTGAGGAAGGCGCCGATGACGGTCAGGCCCACCAGGATGTACATGAAGCTGAAAGCCACGTACGGGGGCTTCTTTTGCAAAGCCTCGTTCTTCTGCAGAGCCACAAAGTCTCCAAAGCCAATAGTGGTCAAGGTTATGAAGCAGTAGTAATAGGCATGAAAGAAAGTCCAGCCCTCGAAATAAGAAAAGGCTGCCGCGCCGATGCACAGGGTCCCCATGCAGGACAGAAAGCCGACGAGGACCATGTTCTCCATGGAGACGTTGGTTGTTCTCATGCCCAGACACTTCTTGATCTTCTTGAGCAGTAGCCGCACGACAGTGTTCATGCGCTCCCCCAGGCTCTGGAACATGACCAGCGTCAGCGGGATGCCCAGGATGGCGTAGAACATGCAGAAAACTTTGCCGGCGTCCGTGCCCGGGGCAGCGTGCCCATAGCCTGCGCAGGAAAGAGGAGAGGCGGGCGTCAAGCCCTCACTGGGGTTTCCAGCAAGGCTGCCCTGGGCCCAACAGGAGCCGTAGGAGAATGGGGGGGAAACGGAAAACGAATCAGTTACAGATCTGCAGGCAATGCTCATGGGGCCACGGGACACCACATCCTTCGGGATGGTGGCACATCACAGTATCGTGTGGGCAGAACCTCATTTGACCTCTAAAGAGAGAAGGTCAAGAGGAAACGGGCTCAAGTTGTGCCAGGGGAGGTTTAGGTTGGATATTAGGAAAAATTTCTTCACGGAGAGAGTGGTCGGGCACTGGGACAGGCTGCCCAGGGCAGTGGGGCAATCACAGTCCCTGGAAGTGTTCAGAAAATGTGTGGATGTGGTGCTGAGGGACGTGGTGTAGAGGTGGACCAGGCAGTTAGGGTAACGGTTGGACTCGATGATCTCAGAGGTCCTTTCCAACCTTAACGATTCTATGATTTTGTAAGGTACCCTCCTGAGAGCCCCTGAGCTTGTAGGAGGTCATGGAGGCCAAGAGGAGCCCTAGCGCTCGACTGGGGTCTGCAAGGCTTCTGCAGCTCACGAGCAATTCAGAGGCAACGACGCCGTGCCAGTGCCGGGTCCGCAGGCCAACCTGAGCCCCGCGGCGAGGGGGGACGGAGGCTCCGCAGGACGCTGAGACCAACAGCACCAGGTCACCCCGCGGGAAGGTACGCACCCAGCCAGTCCCGTCCACAACCGCCCCTGCAGGGCCATCGTCACCTCACCCTGGCACCGCTCCTGCCCCTCCTGTCCCCGGAGCCCTCCGGTGTCACGCGCATCGCCCATATGATGGTTTGCCACGTGGCCTGTTGGATAGGAGCTATAGGGCCCCTGCGCTATAGGGTCGGTCCCCGCAGGAGCAGCTGAGTCTGGGAGGGCTTCTGCAGAGCAACTTCGGGTTTACTCCAGTGTCACCAAGACTCAGACCTAAAGCACTGCGGGATCGCCGGGGAGGAGGGCTTGTGCTGTTTGAAATGCAGGGGAGTATTCACGCCCCCGCAGCCCTGTCAGCCCTTGTCCCGGGGACAAGGAGCTCGAGGAGGACAAGGTTCTCCTCGAATGCCTTCCGAGATTGAATTTCCTCACCTTGCTCCAAGTTCAGGGCTGTGACTCAAGGACACGCACAATTATACGGTGAGTCGTAATGAGGTGTTCACCGCAATCTTCCGGACTTTGGTGATTCTGCGCCCGCCTCACTTAATTATAGAAGCTTAAGAGGAACTGGCGGCCCCTGACCTAAGCGGAGGAGCGACTGACTCAGCGCAGGGAGTCACGGCATCCAAAGGCACCCGAGCCTTTCTTTTGAGTTTCTGTGAGAAACTACCAGGGCTGGAAACTCCCCTTCTGGGGCGCCTGCAGAAACGCGCCGGCGCCCGCCCGTGCTGCTGCGGGGCCTTCTGCAAACAGCTATTTATACCTGCTCTTTGTCCAGGTCACCATCTGACTTTTGCATGAGGATATGGGGGGAAAACCCCCCCTTTTTTTTATTTCTCAGTCTTGTTCAAAGCTGTGACTTGGCTTCACCTCTGCCTCTGCTGCCGGTGGATTTCCAGGGCCCTTAGGGAAGCAGGCGGTGGTGGGCAGGCCAGCGGGTGATAACCACCTTGTCCCAGGCTCCCGACCACTCCAGACAACTGCAACGGGACAGGGCTGGGGGCTGAGGACAGCGTTACCCTCGACCGTGCTGTGCCCCGAACTGCAAGCAGGACGGAGGGGACCGCTCCCCCATTGCTCCGTCCGCTCAGAAACCCACGCAATCACAAATGACAAACTTCATGCCTGCATGCCACGTTTCAGCGAATACAGAGCAGACGTGAGACTGCAGTGGCAAAACCCCCCGTCGGATCCGAGCCCAATAACCGAGTGCAATCATCGGGTCCGAGGCTCCAAGATAATACAACGGCAGCAAGGAGGAGGCAAATATAATGATCCAGAAGAGCAGTAAGTGGAAAAACAGTTGTTGTGCCCTGAGAGACCGCTGAAAGAGCATTTGACTGATGCTTTCAAAATGACAAAGGGAATTAGAAAGAGTAAACACAGCCACATTAACGTTAAAAATGAGATTTGGAGCGCAGCCCCATATAAAGAGATCTGATGTGCCAGCGTTTTTGAAAGATGGCACTTGGGCTGAAATTATTTATTGCATGGGGTGTGTGATAAGCGTGGCAATTGTTTGTCACAGTCAACAGAAAAATAATGTAAATGAAGCAATAACCTGTCACGAGCTGATGGAGATTTTCACCGAAGCCGTTCATCCCCCCCTCCCGCCGGGGCCTGGCGCTAACCGTGCCCCGAAGGCATCGCCGCTCGCTGGCCACGTGCGCTGCCAGCCGCGCAAACCCCCAGCGCATCTCGGGGGGCACGCGGAGGTGGTCCCACCAGCCCCCGTCCCGAGGGACGATGCTTTCGGCTACCGGACGTGTTTCACCCAGCCCCAGCCCCTCGGTAAGGCTCAGCCCCGTCCTACAGACGAGGAGGTGGCTGCTGGCCGTGGAAGGGCAGGATTCGGCCTCGGGGCTCCTGCCTCCGAAACCCTTCTGCTGATTGAAGTCCCAGCACCAGCAACAATGGGAGCACTGGGTCCCACGCCTGCCTGTCCCCACGGGATGCGGAGGGTGCACGGATTAATAAAAGTGAATTAATTAAACCATGCTAAACTCCCACGTGGCTAATCTCACCTAGAATTAAGGCAATCCTCGATCAATTTGGTTTCATTTTCCTGCAAAATGGAAGAGGGCAAGCCCAGGGCTGGGCTCTAGCATGGGTAAGTGTCTCTGCAGAGGGGCTTAACGTGATTCACCCCCTCCAAGCTGACACCCAGCTGTCTGCAGGCTCCCGCGCAGGCAGAGCGAGGTTCGGCGCCTGGTGGCTGGCCGGGCTCCTGGAGCAGCACTCATCCAGCCAAACACCCAGAGTTTTGAGCTGGCAAAGAAGCCAACAGTTCTTGCCCGGCTCTTCAGCCTGGCTCGCTGGCTACGCCACCGCGCCGAGGACGGACACGGCTCCCACTTCTGCCCCCTTCACCCCTGCCAACTTCTGCAGCTGCCCGCACCAAAGGTGCCTGCAGCAGCTCCGCGTGCTGCCACCTCCCTGGGACAACCTGCACGTCCCGTTTCGTGGCCCCTGCCCCAGCAGCACCCCCGGCATCCCCCAGAACCGGGTGGCCCCCAGCATGGCCGGGGCACCGGGGTCCCCCGGGGTCAGCTCGGGGGTGGCCTGAGGAGATGTCCCGGCCTTGCAGGGGTGAGACCCGGCCTGGCGGGGGTGAGCCCTGCCTCTGCTATGGCAGGCGACCCCGCGGGCTGCCCTGGGGCACCCAGAGGTGCTGGAAGTGCGGGAGGTTGCGGAGGTGCTGAGGTGTGGGGATGGAGGGATGATGGGGTGCAGGGGTGATGGGGTGCACAGGAGTGGGGGCGATGGGGTGCAGGGGGGTGAAGGGGTGCAGGGGCGTGGGGATGATGGGCTGCAGGGGCACGGGGGGGATGGGGGGCAGGGG